CTGATGAGTTTAATGTGCCATTAATCATGTCACATGCATGCCAACAGAATTATACAACTATTCTACCTGGGTTTCTATTACTGCAATTTAGCAGAGGAAGAGAAAGCATAAAGATAAGGGATTAAATATTGCATATTTTGCAGTTTAGCAGCAAGCCTTACTCTAAAAAGTGCTTGGATCCTTCTGGGAAGGTGAAGAGAAGGAACCCTGATGTGTGCTAGGAATGTTGGGGAGGTACTGTGTTATGCTTACTTTATATCTTCATATGAAATATGAGCACTAAATTCTCTCATTTAGCTCTCCTCCCCACCGTACGTGAGGGATATAATGATAGTGTTTCCTTTGGTGGCTGGATGAAATGACAAAGGTAGTAATACTGGGTAAGATTTGGACTGAAGGAAGGTGAGAAGCATGTGAATAGATAAACATGAGTGGGACACAGACACACACACACAACCTGAAACACCACATAATTTTCACGTGGTTGGATTCATCTACTTGTTGTCTGGTACCATTATTTATGATTTAATGCACTAGTGCTTCCTTTCTTGGCCAAGTAGCCAACACATGCTAAATGAATAAAACCTTTGTATTTATTGAACAATTGGCCAGAGGATAAGCAAAGTTATCATGTGTAAGCAAAAGAAAAAAAATAAAATGCAGTAAGCTTTTCAGGGTATTTTTTCCAATTACTTAAAGTTCTAATACTGCTTTAATTGTAGCAGATCGTATAGCAAAGATTAAATTGAATATTTTTAGGAAATCTTAGAACTGTCCCTGTACACCATGTCCTGTACTACTCTGTCCTTGATCATCTTTAAGGGCATCCAGGTTGTTTATTAGCTTCTTACTTGGGTAAAATGTTAAGTTTTTTTAACTAGAATTTAATTTCCTTCAACTTTCTGGGAACTTTGTCTTCAGTTTGAATTGCTGTTGTGCTGTATTGCAGTTTCTTACCTCAAGTGATTTTTTTTGCAAGTTTGACATGTTCCTATTGCCACATTTTTTCAGTTTTACAGTACAGATGCATGAGGAAAAAAGGCTGTTCAAATTATTTCCTCCCTAAAGCAGAGCTGAAATATCATCATTTTGTTAGGAGGAGGGAAGAGAAGAAAAAAAGAAGAAAAAAAACCAAAAAGCAACCTTGTTTCAGTGGGAAGAGGAGATTTGAGTGGGAGGTGAGATCAGAAGGGAGACAATGATTTTGGGAGGTCTTTGAAGAATTTATGAAAGTGTCATCAAAACCAGTCATCTTACCAGTACTGTAGAAGTTTATCATAATGCTTCATTTATTCCTAAAGGGCATATGCTTCACCTCTCACTATAATATAAGATTTATGCCACATCTTTCCAGACTAGAACTTGAGACCTTACAACGCGTAACTTGATTCATACAACAATGGAGACGTTTGCTGAAAGGGAAATTGTTCTCCTGCAGCTTTTATGCCCCTCCAGCACTTACCTAGTCCTCTGCATACCAATCATTGTCTTGCAGCACTTCACAAAGAGCACAATGGACACAGACTAGGATCAGAAAAAAATCTAGGTAGTACGTGACAATATATCATCAACTTTAATATTTTCTCTTAATGAGATAAGACTGATATGAGCACGGGGAGGAAAAAGATTAAAAGTACTTCCAGATCCAAGAGGTGGTCCTTATTTTCTTACTTAGAAAAGAAAGGGGTTTATTTCATGCTGGTTTGTATTTAAGTATGTTGGTACATTTCCTATATCCACACAAACAAAGGATTAATCTAGTGCAATGGCAGTGTAGTTGAAACAGTGATATGACTACCTGAGCATTTCACCACTTGCTTTAGTCGGCTAGGATATAACTCCTGCTATGCAACAAAGCAATGAAACATGGATTACCTATTCACCAAGAGCAGATACTTTGAATTATATCCATGAAGGGACCTGGAAATGTCATCTTAGGTGTCTAGTCAGGCAGCATTCAGGGCCAGGAGCTCTGGTTCAGCTGTTGTTTAGCTCTCTATAGTAGACGCTGTCAAACTTTTCAGATTCCTACCTAATGTAATGTCCTGTCAGGGTGCTCAAGGTAGGTGATCTTGGTTTATGTGATTTGCAGTACACAGTTAGGTAGGGGTACTAAGAATGAGAGTTTTGGGTGGAAGGGGAGGTGGAGGTGATTGCCATGCCCACAGAAACTATGTTCAAAGAACTCACAAATATATGTGGGAGCTGGTTTTAAAAATCTTCTCTTGGCTCAACTTAATACAGGAATGGTTTTTTTCCACATGTAGCTGCCATGTGGGTATTGGGTCAAGTCATTCTCCATTCTTCTGTTAAAGACCTTCCATTTTACTTCAATAATTAGTCATTGAGAAACACTGGTTTGATAGTCTGTTGATTTGGACTCTGCCCTGGATTCCAGTCCCTGGTCCACATCAGTCAGAGCGAAAAGATGTCTCCATTAACCCCATCGCTTGCTTAACAGGGATTGGATGACAGTGGTGTCCCTTCTCTTTCCCATGAGACAGGCTGGCTTGTTGTAAGTTCCTGATTCCAAAACAGATTTACAGCTGAAAACCCAAACTGTAGAAAAGCTCATTGTGTTTAAGGTACTTTACAGCACTCCGGTCTGCTTCTCAGCCCTGCTTATGACTTGGTTTAGTTTGCTTTCTGTTAGCTTTGATTTACCCATGCATTGCCTGGGCAGCCTGCATGCCTAACCAATTTAATGACTCCATTGTTTAGCAAAAGGCCTATAAGTCAGTAGTTCAGTACATAGGAAAACTGTTAAATAAAACATAAGTGAAAGCAAAAATAATAATTTAATGGACATTATGAAAGGACAGTAAACCAAACAGTTCAGTCCAATGGATGATGTATAACATCTAAACACATATGACAACTAATTAAGGATTAGGTTCTGCATTTTGGATGACAGGCCTTATAAAAATGAACAGTTAGGTTATGTTGGGGAAAAAAAGCTGCATTTTGCAAATGTCAGGCAGACAGCTCAGTAAGCAGAAAAGCTCAGTTATCCAATTAAAATAAATGTGCAGTGTTCTCAATATAAAGAGCTAAAGCATCCTTATGTTGAGAAGTTAAGATCTTGAAATATAAGTGGAACAAAAAGTGCTCTCTATAAAGATTAATGTAATCTATCAAGATTAACATTTTGCATGCTGGCAAAGGCATATAGTAATGTGTTTCAATTCCTGAAATTGGAAACATTAGACTAAGATCAGTACCAATTTAAACCCCAGGTAACCCCAAATATTGAATTGAATTCATTATTTACAACCACGATGGGCTAATAAACTTGCCCTAATGGCTTCTATGGGAAATAGATACCTACAGAAGGTGCTATCCTATTTCCCATAATACTCTCTTATACTTCATGTGAAATGTAATAACAAGTTGCATAAATGTAATTTAGGGAAAAGTCTTCCACTAAAAGTAATTCCTGATTTATTCAGGAGTTTGACTCCTATCCTAAGAAAGATTAAGGATGTTTTTGAAAATTGTCATGAACATGGGTGTCGTGAGAAGCCACAAAGTTTCAAGACCACCAGTGGGGGAGACAGTTTAACCTCATTTTTTGTTGTTGCTTTCTAACAAAAGGAGTTTATTGCATAACAATGGAAAGCAAGTGGTGGGAAGGGATCACAATAACAATGAAACTAGAAACTGGGTTGCAATTTCATTGGAGGAAAGAGGAGTCCACTGTCTAGATCCCCATGATACCTGTCAGCAGAGAATATCTTTGTTTTAAGCCAAGATTTAAACCTGCTGTTTAGAGTACGTCTCCAAAACAAGAGTTTCTAGGGCTGGAAACTTATAACGACACACAAATTTTCTAAAAGGATATTCAATTCAAGCCATTTACAACAGAATTAACATGAAACATGGATTTTCTGTTGGTTTATAAAGCAGAAAGCAGAAAATTATTACTAGGAGGGAGGCTTTAGAGGCTTTATCAGGGGTATTAAAATGGAATTCAAGTTTGTGAGGTGCCTGATTTATAAAAAAAAATCTGTCAAATGTTGAAATGAGAGGTGAGAATCTCAGCTCCACAGTGCTTGAGAAAGCATGGAAGATCATG